CTAATATATATGTACACGCATGATACAGCTTAATTGTAGAGTCGAAGCGAAAAAAAATGAAAAACAACAAAACTTTCAACGTTCGACCAAATATTATGTTGCCTCTCGGCTCGGTAAAATTAGTACTTACGCTATTGTCTAACAAAAAAAAAATTCGTAGCAAACCATACACTCGCCGTTATCTTCGGCTAATAAGAAAGTAAACAATAGCTGCCTAATTAAAAATCAAAAAAATTTATCCGAGCGAAAAAATTTCTGCGTCTGCCGGTATCAGAATTGAACGCCGTATATTAATGTGTCTACATGGCGTTTGAGACCGAGATGACGATAACCTCTACGCCGATTACCAAATTATCAGACGCGCATTTGCACGTATCGCCAATTTCTCGGGTGACTAATGTGTCTCTTTACTTTTGCTGTTTGCGTTTTCCCTGCAGATTTGTAAAGATGACATTTTTTGATTCTCGATTCATTCGTTTCAAGAACAACCATTGGGTTATCGATCGATGGAAATGACAAACGAGATAATATATTTCTGGAAATCCTGGCATTCACTCGCGGCGGTGAAATGCATCAGGAAAGTACAAAATAATCATACACGATTCACGCTTGTCGATCACGTGCACGTAATTATTAGTCGTTACGCCAATGTATCCTCTCTGTCGCGGTAACAATACTTTATTCTTTGCCAACGTAGATATTATGGTTTCGCGTATCAAAAGAGATTCCCGTCAATAAAATGCGTTGAATTCAAAATACGCATTACGAAACGGATGGTAATTCAATGCGACCTTTTCATACGACATTATACACGAGTCCATTGTGTTGGCATTGTGCTTCGAAGCCTCATTTCTACCGTGCAATGATATAAAAAGTAACTTTTCTTTAAAAAATACCCATGTTACGTTAAACGAGGAAAAAAAAAATGGGTGAAAAAAATTCGTCAAAATTACACCTGCTATACGCCATACATACACGGGAACGACACCTGCGCCCTGCGATCGAGCGTAGCACAAATAAGTAGATGGACGACGCTGTAGACATGTCGGAAAAAAGCTCTCTCTTCCCTATATACAACGTGCCCTTCTTTTCTTCCCAATATACTTGTTTTGCACGAATATACCTGTGTCGATACAAAAGAAGGGAAATCGAAAAGAGAAAACGACAATTTTTGTGACTCTCGAAATCGAGCAACGAGAACTTGATTTATCTTCCCGTCGAAACATTCGTAAATAAATTTTTGTTTACATCGAGCAATTTCTATCATCCGAGTGATTTCAAAAAATGGTAATGCATTTTAATTTTCTCTTATTTCCAATCATGTGTACTTTGACGACACAATGTGCAATAATCGAGCAATAAAAATATCACACGATTTCGAATGAAACTCGAAAAAATGAGCAACCCGCGTTAACACACAAGAAATCAGGTATATACTTTGTTCCGATCATTGGACGAGTTCTAGATTGAATTGAAGAGGGAAAAGGAAACAAAAAATAATTTATCACGTATTGGCGACAAAAAGCCCCTTCACCGCGAAAACAAAGCAATAAGTATACCGGACGAAAAACCGAAGCTTCGTCGTCGTCGCGATCAAGGTTTTCGCTATCTCCCTTGGAAGAGCACCGAGACCCCGCCGCCGCTACACTATACCATCGCCGTCGCAGCTGCGAGCGATTAGATAAGAGCACAGCGGACAGATACGGTTAAATTTGACGCCAACGCGATCCAAGCACACGCGCGCACAATAATTTCGTATGCGCAATACGCCGCTTTCGATAGTTCAAAGTAAATACAGCCATAAAACATGACACATACACGAGCAATCGATTGCATACACGTGCTATTGTCATCGGAGAGATACGACACGCTACGTGTACATTATGTACACGTGTGTACGGTCGAGAGTCACCGCGCGCGTGCTGTGGATTAAATTTTCCAAGTCTTGTTGCGCGACTCGATAATATTATGATTTTTAAGGGCTCGTGTAACTCGGCGACGGAAAAATTTCGTAAACACATGATACACGTCCTCGAGAGACGACGGTCCCGCGGCACGTGTTATCGATGACCCATATATAGACGTTTCCGTCGTATACTTGAAGATCGAAACACTACGGTTTTCCCGAGTTCCTCCCCCCGTGACACCGTCTGTCACGCTCACGTGGCTTGGGAAAGGGAGCGCCAAAAGGTACATACGCGCAGCGCACGGAAACGAGGGGCGCGTGCACTCGTTAGCGTTGCCGGAGGGCAAGGGAGGAAGGAAGGAACTTCCGCGGAGGGCGACGCACCTGTCCTCTTGGCTTGTTTCACCTGCTAATCCGGAGACACCTGGGCCGTCGGAGGTTGGTTCTTTCTAAGGTCGCGAAGGGTATACGTGACGAACAGTCACACAGTTGCTGATAAAACAGAACTTATTAAGAGAAGGACTTTCCGAGGAAGAAAGAGTTGGCGTGTCTAAAAATGTATGAGTTTCCAGTTGATTTTGTTACATCGGAATGTACTTATACTTGAGTATCAAATTTATGACGATTTTTACACTTTTTACTTTCATATCGTGAAGTCCATATAGTATCAGGGTTATGCATTTTGGGGCTCGAGTATTTCCAATCAAGAAAAAGAGACGTGATCAAGAAATTTTGGCTGAAATAAGAAAAAATGTACCTGCACGACGTGTTGTACGGTTACCATATACATTTTATCATTCTTTGGTCTCGTATTATCGAGAATGAATTTTTTTTTAATATTTTTTTTTGCAGTAGTGAGTGGAAGATATGGTACTTTCACTGGAGAAAATATTCTCCACACACTTGTACGAAACATCTTGTTCGCAGGTTGTGCAGGACTCTCCCAACGATCGTGTGACAACGTCACAACACTCCGAAAGGCCCAACAAATTTACAGACGAATAGTGTGAATAAACCTTGAAAATTTCCCAGTCTCCACAGGGACTTACTAAAATTTCCAAACTTTTGCACCAAAAGTACGAAAATTCGAGACGAATGACTCGCACGAGTCTAAAATATATATGTACAAACGGAGAAAAGAGCGCACCTGATGTGCCTCGGAAGCGCATGTGACGTGTTGCGTAAAATTTCAGCAAGCCTATGGTGCTGTATAAAAGCTATTATCGCCGTGCGATCAAAAGACCGTCCTCACGTTCAGTCTCCTAACCGATTCTATAAAAAAAAAAAAAAAAAAAAAAAGACGGAAAGAAACGCACGAACGTTCGTTAGACAAGTTTCGTTGCCTCCTCGCACGTGTCCTCATACGTATATACACCGCATATTTCACTCCGAGCTATTAGCCTCTCGGCACGTGAGTCAGCTAAATTCGCCAGCCAGTCGTTCCGCTTCGCTTGTTACAGCTTTGCTGATGAAATCAATTATTATACATACACCAGCGACTCTTGTTTTTTTCTTCCCCCCGAGATTTACGCAAATTTACCGAGTCATCGGCCCGAGCGTTTAACGCGACCGTAAATTAACCTTGGCTTGATGTGCCGAGAGTCAAATAAAATGTGAAACGGCCGATTATTTCCCCGACGACGAAACTAGAAAATCCGAAATTCGCACAAACGCGGCGAGTAAAAGAGGAAAAGAAAGGAAAAAAGGCAGTGTAGGAGGAGGAGGACGAGTGAATTATTTGCGCGAAGCCGATCGACCAGATTCAAGGACGTGGACCACAGGAGTCGAGAGAGCAGACAGGCTTCGTATAGGTGCACGCTATCATGGTATATGGAAAAAAAAACAGCTGGATCCGAAACCAAAGACGAAGAAAAAAACGCGACGCACAAAATTCAGGGACGGTCTGGGGCTCTTTTTTTTCACCTGTTTTGTGAAAGAGCGTCGCTTCGCCGAAAAACTTTGCAATCGAGATAACAACTCTCTGTCATAATCATTTTTTTTTTTTTTTTCTTTTACAAGTAAAATTTACAAATACAAAGCACTGAGCCTTATCCTCCGTTGATCCGATTAGGTCGAAAAGAACAACACACCGGCTCCTTGATGTTTGTAAACTATGACGTGATGACTTGTAACCGGGGGATTTGTAAGGTATAGCTTTATTGTAGCGTGGCGTAATATCATACCGGTAAGATATTTCTTGTTAACAAATGTTTGTGTCAAAAAGTGATACCCGCAGTGATACCTCGAGAAAAGAAAAACAGCCACAAAAGTCTCACGTTCCGAAATTCACATTCCCCGAAACTAACAGTTGATTTACCACGCGGTATTCGCCAGCAATTTTAACGAGACGAGGTCCTAGCAAAAAAAAAGACAGCCTCGAGAATTCGACTCCCCAGCGGGACCCGATGCGTGTTATTCCCGTGAGGGTAGCGCGGATATAACGGATTCTCAGGGTGTACTGTTAGCACGCGGGAGCACAGAGAACGAGCGAATTATTTTTGTTGCTACCAGCACGCAGGTATTCAAGAAAACATTTTTCTTTTCTACGACAATTGTTGTATACGTCCCGTCAAACCAACCATCGTAGGTTGAGCCAAGAACTTGGATTTGTAAAGAGTAAACGTGACATCCAAACAAAACTTAACAGCAGTAAACATGATACGTAATGAGCGCGACGTCGCGCAAGAAAAAAACAGAAATAGAGAGAGAGAGAGAAAGAAACGAGTTAAGATTTATGGAGACCAAGAGGTATACACAGAGGAGGAGGAAAACACGCGGCGTAGAGCCGGTCTGTGAGAAATATGCCTTTTTATCCCCGACTATACGTTGTACACGATATACGGCGCACACGATAAATGATCGGCCGGTGATGAATGGCCACGACGACAGGCGCATTAGCATCGGGGACCGTTTGATTTAAATCGCCACAACCGAGATTTCGTTATGAAAGCCGATCGACAAGTGCTATCGCGCTATTGGTACATGTACGTACACCACCTCGTTGTGCCACGTGGACGACGTTTTTATCACACTAGGTCACTCGTCACTGGTAGTACATGCACATAATCGCATGGTATACTCGTGCGGCATTTACCTGAAGTACGGCGATCCGAAGGGCGAACAGTAGAACGGATCGTTGTGCATGTGCGGCTGGCCCGGCACTCCACCGGGGCCCTGCGGGTGCGGCCCGTGCGGTCCCATGGGCGGGCCACCGGGCACTGCGGGCCCGCACATTCCTGGCCCTCCTTGGGGCTGCATGCCTCCGGGTCCCATCATACCGGCGGGTCCCATGTGCGGATGAGGCCCCGGATGGGGCGAGCCGACCATGTGAGGCCCCGGATGATGCGGATGGGGAGATGGACCGCCACCGGCCATGTGTCCCGGATGCGTCGCGTGAGGCGATCCGGCCATCATTCCCCCGTGTGGCATCGAGTGGGGCGAGGGTGAGGCCCCGTTTAGGTGCGGCATCGGCACTCCTCCCGGCTGTCCGTGGGGCGTAGGTGGCCCACCGTGGGTCGGCGTCGTGGCCGGCTGAGGGGGCGGTAGACCAGGTGGGCCCTGGGGCCCACTACCCATCGGCGGTAGGGGCCCATTTGCCATGTTATTTAACTGCGTGAGCGAGGCAGCGGCCGAGGCCATGGCTTGCAAAGGGTTGGGTGGGCCGATCGGGCCTCCGGGCCCGCAACCAACGGGCCCTCCTCCTCCTCCTGTGCCCGCCACTACTCCAAGTAACGATGGCGCGGGTGGTAAACCCGCGCCGGCAGCAGCACCGGACGCCGAGTTGGGTCCGGAATTGGGACCACCGCCACCACCACCGGGTCCAACGACAACAACGACACCACCACCGCCCCCAGCGGAGACAGAAGTAGCAGTGGCTATGGGACCACCGAGGCCTTGAAGTGGGGGGGAGCCGTTAGACGTGGGCCCGCCGAGGCCGCAGCGGCTGGCAGAGGCAACGGACACCGAGCCGGGACCGCCGCTCACCGGCACGCCGCCGTGCAGTAGTCCACTCGGGGGGCGCTGCGCCACCCTCACCGGCATCACTCCCCCCTCCACGACGCCACCCGTCTCGCCGAACACGAGACTCGAGCCGAACACGCTGGCGCTCTGCTGGTAATGCACCCTTGGGCTGCCGCTCCTCGACTATATGCAACACTACCGCTGCTACCGATGACGATGGCAGCCCTACAGGCTACCCTACTGCTCCTTTACACGGGGGAGGGAGGAAGGGCCCAATGTATCTCCTTTTTCAACTCGTATCACTGATCTGTCGTTTGTTGGCGAGATGCGGAACTTGCAACACAATTTGACAATCGCCAACCGCACAGAGCTGTTTCAACATTGAACGAACGAAGAAATATATATATATATATATACACGCACACAACTCTTGTTTATCACTATCCCGTGCGGGTGTACAACGAAAAAATATACATATATATCACACGATTATCGCACAATTCACATGATTGCCATACATAATTATGTAATTATTGATTATTCTGTCGACCAGGAGCCACTATACATATACAACGTGCACGAATCGCGTTCACTCCTTTAATGTAAGTAGGTATATACTACGAGCAGTATAGGCACAACACACACACTGCACACATATATACACTCACTAATCGATAATCATCGGAGCCGAGCTCTAGGCTACACGTGTCTATTGTTGTTGCATGTGTATTATTATTATTATTATTATTATTATTATTATTTTTTTTTTTTTTTTTATACACAACGGGAAATATCGACGAGAAGGTATCCCGAAAAAATTTGCATGCGGATCGGCGGAGGGAGGGGGGACGGGGGCGTGTGACACGTGGTTCGTCACGTAGGTGTCGCCCGGATGTCGCACCGGCTGCTACGCTGCCGTCTTCCCCGGCAGGCCCGAGCCGTCGTCATTGTCACCTCTGACGCGGTGTATTGTACTCTGCTCCGAGCCTTCTCTCGGCGAAAGAAGGCTCGACCGGACGATGCGCACCGCAGACCCGCGCGAACACACGATTGTATTATGATTGTTTGATCTTCCTTCGGTTTCTGTATGGGACAGGTAGCCGGGGTCAGTCGCCGCAAGGGATGCGCCGAGCTGGGCCGATTCTCAGCTGCGGCATCGTGCCTCGGGTTATATGTTCACTCGGTAGCGGGATTGACGTTCATCACTCCGAGTTAACGGCGGTAGCGTCGATCGGGGAGCTGAAAGATAAAGGAAGGGACTGGTCGATTATGATAAGACACACGCGCGCACTCACTGTCGTTGATATCACAAGCTTATCGGTAAGGGACAAGGGATTGGAGTAATTTGTACGCGGTGTATCGGATGCACAACAAACGACACGCGTAAGGTCGGGGAGAGCGGCGACGGCACTGCGAGGAGCTGACTCTGTGAAAGCGCTCGCATTACTGGCGGAGAGTCGGGCTCGCCGAAACGATGGCGCTCGGGTCGCTCCGAGGAGTTGGCTCGTGGATTTTCTGTACACGTTGGAGTCTCTGAAAAATCATTGTCCGACGTGCGCGAAGTTAATCTCGCCTCCATTCTATCAGTACTTATTTACATGCAACTCTCCTTGGGATGGTCTTTAAAAATCAGCAGTGGCCGAATATTACATTATGATTACATAGGATAATATTACACCAACGTTGTACATTTACAGCCGATCGGTAACAAAAATTTCGAGTCTCACAAAGAGTGCTGACCAAAGGACATGAGTATACGGTTGCTTCACCTTACCAAGTTCAGTGGGGATGTTTTTGGTAACTCTTTCTCGTATCAATGGCACATAGCTTTCTAACGGTTCGTATTGGTCGAAGGACGAAAAAATCCTTCCAAAGTCCTTGCACCATGGAAGATTTGCCGTAGCGATCGGCATCAACAATGAAAATTTGATCGTCAATCTCGACCAATGATGTCGGCCACGTAGCATGAATCAAATCAAGCTCGACGCAACGAAAACCCATGAGCCTCGCCGACTCGGGGTTTTTCAGGGACTTGGACGTGTACGTGGGCACAACGTGCGTGTGACAGAGAGGGAGGAAGCCACGTACAGCTCTTCGGAGCGTGGCTCCGCCACTGGGAGCGATGCTCGTGCGCGAGAGTAGGTATGTGTGTGTGTGTAACGTAGAACGCGTCGCGGGGAGAGAGAGAGAGATGGAGCTGTGACGCGCAGTGGCGTAGACTCGATGCCTGGGGACGACGACGATACGGAGGAAGGGAAGGTGGGCGAGGGGGACGCGACGCCGGAGCTACAGGGACGAAGGGGGCTCTCTACGCACGACGACGACTCCTGCGCGCCTGGCTATATAACGCACGGGCAGGGGGAGAAAACGCAGTGCCGCCACCGATGGAAGAGACGAAAGGAAGAAAGAACCACACTGCACACACGGTTTTTATATACCTACTTATATACTCGCCAGCTGAACGAAAAAGACCGATCGGCCGTGCCATGGATAATAATACTACATGTACCCATAAGTGGGTAGGTGGAGGAATAAAGTGTATACACGACGACGTGTATATATCTACAGCGGTGTACCTACTCACAACACGTGCAGGAGGATATTGCAAGGAGGTCGTTGATGTTTGACTTTTGGCAGAGATGTATTTTTTCACGCACTACACGCCTATGGATAACCAACTACCCTATTAGCACACTCCCTCCCCACTTGCTTTTTTATTCACTTCTTGGCTGGCGCAGTGCCCTGATGGGTAAGAGAGACTTGGTGTACAAATGTGAGCTACCGGGGGCGGTGGTGGACAAATATGACTTTGCGTTTGAACGAGTGGTATTATTAATCATTGTTACCATTATTGCGTGGTATATAGGGAAGGGAAGACGGAAGTCTTGGGAAACTATTGGTTTTTGGCAAACAGGATGCACGGGGAGGAAAAAAGGAAGGAGTGTTTAGTCGCGATATTTACAACACGATACGTGTTTTAAGGTATAAACAATCAACATCGAAACTTCCCTCTCTTATCTCGGTCCTCCGTGGGATTCTCATTAGCGGCGACATTATACGCCGGACCGAAGGTATTTGCGCATATGGTTGATTAAACATGTTTTGCCCTCCCTGCTCCGAGACAATAAATTCTTCTTTTTCTCCCCCACATCCACCTTTCCCGGCTCTTTTATACCCACAACTTGCATATATATATAATATCCCTCGAGTGCAAAGGATATCCACTTTTTCTACCCTCCTTCCACCCCCAACGCACATACACGCGCGTTGCCCTCCTTTTCCTTCCTTCCTTCCTTCCTTCAGCAGCCCCCCCCTTTTTTTCCGTCTTTCCTCCCCCATGTGTGTCGTCTGCGTCTATCCACTGCTATTAGCGCAGCTAACGCACGCACGCGCTCCTTTTCTTTCCCTCGAGGGACGCGACGTTAACCTATTTTTCCTCCCCTTGGCGAGACTCTAGCTCAACCTTTTTCTTCCTTTTGTACACATCACTCTGCACGTACGGTATGTGGTTACTCGCGAGTCTCGATGCCGATTGACCAAAGATTTTGGCAGAAACATCTTTATTTTTACTTTCTTTTTGGACACCATACACGTGAATTTGAAAACCAAATTTTATACTAAAGGATGTCCCGTTTGATCGGTAAAAGTTGTTTGATTTTTCGTGAAATGCTCCTTGTATTGTTTTCGAGCGGTTGTGTAAGGATGAGTTGCGCAATGTGAATGACAAACAAAAAAAAAAAAAGAAAAAAAAAGAGGGAAAAACAATTTTTTGCTCACGCAACGAAACTGACTTTTTTAACGATGTATCCGTCAACATTACATAAATTTTTTTGTTTCTTTTCTGGGACGTTTCAAAAAAAAAAAAAAAAAAAAAAAAAAAATACGTACTCGCGAGCACAGAGAAAACGTCGCGGAGCGCGTTTCACCGCGAGTTTTGCCAACTCCGGGCGTACGTATACTTAAAATTGTCGGCGTGATCCGCCCCAAAAGCCAGCGGAACTTTTGAAAAATTCACCCGCGCTCTGAATAAATAAAAAAGAAATACACTCCCACGCGCTTTTTTTCCCTACGAAAGGAGAACTCCACGAGTAAATGCCGGGGCACGTAAAAAGCGAGATGTACACGTTTGAATGGACAGATACGGGGTACCGTGAAAGGGATATACCCTCGTATGAGAAATGGAGACATGCGTGCATCGGCATTTCGCGCCGGCGGAATTTTTCAAGAGAAACGAATGCCGTTGGGCAAATATGGGTGCGCATCCAAGTGAATAGAGCGGAACATCATCTCGTATCCATCAGCTCTCCGGGGTGGTATATCCTATCGTCGAGCGAAGCAGTGCGCGCGTGCTTTTTTGCCTTCTACGAATAGCGCAACCTCTACCCCATTGTATTCTCTCCCTTTTCTCAATCGAAAGAGCTCAACTTTTACATGGAACCGTAAACAGAATTTAAAAGTCGATTTTCCCAGTCTCGCTTTTTTTTTTGTTTCCACACATGCCCAAACAAACGATAAAAGTTTCACACCATCATGCATCAAATAACCCAACCCTTGTGGTTGGAAAAAAAAAAAAAGTATGTCTGCACTTTGCTTCGTCGATAAAACATGTGGAAACAACGATCGGAAAATCGAAGAAAAAGAACAGAAAAGCTCACCGATGCAACAAATCGTCACCCCAATTCGCCGTCCCGTCTTAAACCCACCGTAACACGCAAGCCCGCCCACTCGACTCGCGAGAGAAATAGAGAGTAGTCGCACCCGCGCAACGCCCTCGAGCATAAAACAAATTTCCCTCGGTGGTGGTGGAATTAATTCCAGCGAGCAGGCAAAAGCCTCCCCCTTCCACCCCCGCTTCCTTTCCGAATCGCCGTCTCGGCTCTTTGCTTTTCCCCCGTGCGTTCCCCGCCCCTTCCGCGTCACGCGAAAGGAGGAAAGAAAGAGCATGATGTCGCCAAGTGCAAAAAGTCACGCATATATACACCCCATGCTCGAGAGCCCTCCTCCACACCCCTGTATCTTCGCTGGTGTACGTACTCGAGCGTTGTATCTCTCGACGCAGCAGCTATCGTGGCATAAAGGCATTAGCTGACGTCGTTCTACGCCGCTCCACCCGCGTGTGTCATGTGGGGAGTAAGCAAGGGAGAGGGAGGGGGTGGTTGGATTGTATCGCGAGGGCGTATAGCCGCTAGACTGTAAATATGTACCGAGGACTGCGGGAGATAGCGCGGAAAGAAGGGGCTCGCGCTCGAGTGGAACAGAGCCGGCCGCTCGAGTGCGCCTCTATTGCTTGCTGTGTGTAAAAATCACGACGCGCCACGACGACCCTTCGGCTCTTTTATCCCCCCCCCCCCCCC